ATTTTAAGTTGTGAAAAAAAAAAAAAAAAAAAAAAAAAAATTCAACGGAAACAACATTGTGGTTAAGCTGAATATTAGGATCGCTACGTCACATACTTTTACAGTTTACTTATCGATCAGCTTTTGGACCGATTTTAATCACATTGCTCAAAAACATTGGTTTTACTTTTATCCACTTTTGAGTTCCAAAATACCAATGACATCTAGTTGATAAAAGACTACCAAACCCATCATAAAAAATCAAGCAACCAAATTTAGATTCATAAAAATTGAGATTTACATGAAACATAACCTTAAGTTTATATCATTTACATAAACACGCATGAAACTTCTTCACCAAGGTATTAAATCAACAGTTGCACACATGGCACACAATGATAACATAAATGAATTGAACTCAATCCCACTTGCTCTTTAACTTATCAACATGTCTAAACTCAAATGTCAGCACAAAACTCCCATCCATTCTCTTCAATTCAAAGCTCTCTACCAGTACATAACATTTATAACTCTGCCAAAGCATTGCATCACCTTCAAATCTCTCTGATCTCTTAATGCTAGACTTTATGTCACCAGTTTCCTTAGACCATCCAAATCTCTCCTCTTCCCATTTCATCCTCTCCACGACCATTGATCTTAAACCTATCTTCTTGCCTGCAATCTCGAACCACACAACCCCATTTTCATCCACGCCTCTGGTTTCTTGTCCAATAACTTGCCCTTCAAGCTTCACCAGTTCTGATTCTACTTCAACATCAACTACAACCACTCCGCCTGCTCCCTCGTAATCAACCTTTTCACATGCGAAAACCTCTTCCCAACTTTGACTAAGAGTCATGCTGTAATAGGTTGATCTTTTTATCTGAGCTTTTGCGTCTCTTTCTTTCACAAATATGAAAGGAACATACCATTTCCCTACCACAACGCTTGTATTTAAATCACCAGGAAGCTTGGAACGGAGCATAGTGTTAATTCCCTTTGCATCATCTACTAGACCAAAGTCTTGGGAAGTTGAGTACCCAACCCTCCAGTTTTTTCTTTTAAGGAACCGCGGTGGCACCCCATCAGGAGCAACTGAAGTTGAAGAGTAACAATAAGACTTTGGTTGATGGATCTTGAATTGCTGGTATATGTTATAAGGATCTACTTGTTGTGGCTTTGCTTCAGGGACATAGCGGAAACAAAAGCAGCGTGGGACTCTGTCTTCCTCTTTGGCACTAGTCGATGATTCTCTGCAAACATTATATTAACAAAACATTTTGAGGTTTTTCCTCATACCTTTGCGTGCAAGTTAGGTCTTTTGAAGGAAAAATAAATTGCAAACCACCTTTAAAAAAATGATGAAGATGAATGAAAAGAAAATTACTTATCACAACCACAAAAGATAATGCAGTCTTTGGTCATGATGATCATGGATTTGTCCTTAAAATAACATGAAAAGGCCACGAAAATTGTTACCCTGAATGCTTCCCACGTCTTCTAATGACATGGTAACAATTTGAAGATAAAGGTTGATCAAGAACCGGGATGAATAAAACCGGGTCACGATACGAGTCCTCTCCAACGTCATGGAATATCACAGCCAGTTTTGCGTTCTATGGGAACGGCAAGCCTTTGAGTTCTCGACCATAGCACAACCTAAAGCAAGAGATAGGTCTTGACTCTTCGTCTTGAATCACAAGAACTCCAGAGTTTGGACCTTCTGGTGGCGGCAGTTCCAACTCCAACGGGTTCTTCTGGTACTCCGAGAGACGCCTTGTAACATACATCTTTAAGTGTAAGATCCAGGAGCTGGAGTTTCGTTTTATATATTGCACCATGGACGGAGAGGTAGGATAATTTTACAAGCATTTGTCTAAAGACTTTTCAAAGGTTTTGACTTTATGGTTTAATTTATACAGAGGTTTTACTAATATGTATGAGAGCTTCAAGTTACATACTATGTGTCCTGTTTTTTTATTTGAATTTTGTAAGAACATGTTTGACCGATGCACATTTTTGTAAGTTGCTATTGGTACTATTATCGTAATAAAATGCGAAAACATAAACTATGCGTTAGTTAATTCATTCTTACTACAAAAGTCAAATGTCAACGAAAACCTCAAAATCTTGTAAACGTAACTCAGTTTACTGATATATAATCTTCATATTTATACGATAAGCACTCGAGAAAGAAAAATTATAGAATAATTTTCGTATTTCTCCGCATGCATAAATCCAAAGCAAAAACATTATACAATGTTCTCTACATAAAGTTACCCAATGATCAAACAAAGACAATAAATACATCAATCCAGAGAGGAGGTCCTTATTGATCATTCGCCGTAATTGATGACTGAGCCAACGGTCACAAAAAACATAAACATTAGTACATTTCTCTTAGGGTTTCTTTTCAAGCTTCTTTACGCGTGATCCCGTGGATGACAAGAAAATAATCCATAGATACAAACATTCATTTATTACCCTTTGTTCACAAGTTTTGAACAAAAACTTTACCTAAAGCAGTAGATTCCAAGAGCCACAGTAATCTCATGGGATGACCGATGTTGCAAAGTGCAAGTATAACGACAGTGTTTTGCATCATTACAACGTTAGTTAAGAGCGGAAAAATAATTGACTAATGAAGATTGTAAGAAGATGTGACCTGTAGTTTTAATCTATTCACTTAGTCAATCTTCAAAGGGTTGGTGTGGAGATTGTAAGAAGAGAGCCTGTGTAATGGAGACGGCTTTTGATGCAGATTGTAAATAGACTTCTTGAAATTAATAAAATCATAAATTGCAGACATGACAACAAAGAATGAAATAACAAACTAAATTCTAATTTCTCTTCAACTTATAAACATGTTTAAGCTCGTATGTCAAGAATTTACTTCTAATTTTATGATTTTAAGAAAATAATATATTTAGTAAGTAGTTGGGCATCTAGGAAATGACCAATTAGTCTGTTACAATATGTTTACTAATTTATAATGGATAGCAAGATAATCATTATTTTTCAATTGAACAGAGTTCACATCAATTCAATACAAGGGCACAAGAAAAAGCTTAAGCGGAAAATAAAGAGAGAAGAAGCTCAGCTAATATTTGAATAGTCCTCAACTTATCAGCATGTCTAAACTCATATGTCAACACCAAACTCTCATCCATTCTCTTCAGCTCAAAGCTCTCTACCGACATATAACTCTTCCAATGTGATGAACCACCAAACCTTGGTTTTACTTTTATCCACTTTTGAGTTCCATAGTACCAATGACATCTAGTTGATAAAAGATTACCAAACCCATCATAGAAAATCAAGCAACCAAATTTAGATTCATACAAATTGAGATTTACATGAAACATGACCTTAAGTTTATATCATTTACATAAACACGCATGAAACTTCTTCACCAAGGTATTAAATCAACAGTTGCACACATGGCACACAATGAAAACATAAGTGAATTGAACTCAATCCCACTTGCTCTTTAACTTATCAACATGTCTAAACTCAAATGTCAACACCAAACTCCCATCCATTCTCTTCAATTCAAAGCTCTCTACCAATACATAACATTTATAACTATGCCAAAGCATTGCATTACCTTCAAATCTCTCCGATCTCTTAATGCTAGACTTCATGTCACCAGTTTCCTTCGACCATCCAAATCTCTCCTCTTCCCATTTCATCCTCTCCACGACCATTGATCTTAAACCTACCTTCTTGCCTGAAATCTCGAACCACACAACCCCATTTCCATCCACAACTCTGGTTTCTTGTTCAATAACTTGTCCTTCAAGCTTCACCAATTCTGACTCTACTTCAACATCAACTACAACCTCTCTGTTATCAACGTTTCCACATGAGTAAACCTCTTCCCAACTTTGTCTAAGAGTCATTCTGTAATAGGTTGATCTCTTTAACTGAGCCTTTGTGTCTCTTTCTTTCACAAATATGAAAGGAACATACCATTTCCCTACCACAATGCTTGTATTAAAATCACCAGGAAGCTTGGAACGACGCATAGTGTTAATTCCCTTTGCATCATCTGTTAGACCAAAGTTTTCGGAAGTCGAGTACCCAACCCTCCAGTCTTTTCTTTTAAGGAACTGTGGTGGCACCCCGTCAGGAGCAACGGATGTTGCAGAGTAATAATAAGACTTTCGTTGATGGATCTGGAATTGTTGGTATATGTCATAAGGATCTGCTTGTCTTGGCTTAGCTTCAGGGACATAGTTGAAACAAAAGCAGTATGGGACTCTGTCTTCCTCTTTGGCACTAGCTGATGCTTCTCTGCAAACATTGTACTCTATCCGTTTCATATTAAGTGTCGTTGTAGAGTTTTTTTTTCAATACAAAATAAGTGTTGTTTTCGGTTTTCAATGCAAAATTTATTAATTTTTTTATTATGTAATTTGTTTTTCCATTCGTTAAAATGTGGTTAGATGTATAGGTAGCTATGTTTTTATATAGGAAATATGTAAAATTAATTATTTTCTTAATCCATGTGCACAGCTCTAAAATGACACTTATAATGAAACAGAGGGGGTATAAACAAAACATTTTGAGGTTTTTTGCTCATACCTTGTGTGCAAGTTAGGTCATTTAAGGAACAAGTAAATAGCAAAATAGCAAATCACCTTGGAAAAAAGAGATGAAGATGAAAATCATATGAACAAAGAAATTATTCATCATCACTATTCCCACCTTTTTATATGAATAATTTTTTTCATACTTTCACAAGGAAACATATTAATTTTTATCAAGAATATTGTATTTTGTGATTATCAATTTTTATAACGCTAAATCAATAATAATTCAATATTTATTTAATTATTAAAAAAGATTAAAAATATGTTTAGTATTAATAAAATTTAATAAAAACTTAAAAGTCTATCTTGATCTTTTCGAAAACATTCATGGTATCAAACAAACGTTGTTTGTGATTTTTAGGCTCCGGTACAAAAAATCCGATTAAGCGGAAAAATGTTTCGCATCTTAGACATTTGTGGAACAAAAAGAAAGAAAACAGCTAAAAAAATACCAAACTTCTATGCAGATTTTCGATACAATAAGCTTATTTTTTAGTAATTTCTAGTCATGTCGATCATGGATTTGTCCTTAATTATCATGTCAAAGGCAAGAAAGTTGTAAGATTATGTTACCCTGAATGCTTCCCACGTCTTCTAATGACATAATAACAATTTGAAGATAAGGGCTGATTGGGAACCGGGATGAACAAGACCGGGTCATGATCAAAGTCATCTCCGTCGCTATAGCTCACCGTCAGCTTTACGTTCTGTGGGAACGGCAAACTTTTTAGATCTTGACCATAGCACAACCCAAAGCAAGAGACCGGTCTTGACTCTTCGTCTTGAATTACAAATACTCCAGAGTTTGGACCTTCTGGTGGCTGCTGTTCCAACTCCAACGGGTTCCTCTGGTACTCAGAAAGACGTCTTGTAACATACATTTTCAATTCAGAATCTATCAGGTGTAGAATCCAGGAGTTGGGATTTGGCTCTATATATATTGCACCATGGTTTGAGTCTTTGAGAGGTAAGCTAGTTGTACAAGCTTTCGTCTAAAGACTTTTCAAAGGTTTTGACTTTTATGGTTTATTTATACAGAGGTTATATAATTATTATGAATACATGATGTCGTCTTTTTCTATGAATTTTGTAAGAACATGCTTGATCGATGCGCATATTGTAGGTTGCGAAATATGTTGACGTCTGCTGGTCAAGACTATGCCTTGGCTTTTTATAATCTTCCGTGATCTTGGCTAGGGACAACGTTTGCTATTGGTACTAATGTTGTATTAAAATGTGAAAACATAAACTATGTCACAAAAGTCAAATGTCAATAATCTTCATATAATCATCTCTTAATATTTAACAATGTTATAGACAGTTTTGTTAGACATTTTATAGAGGATTATTGATTAGGCGAATATCTAAACCGATTTTTTTTAATGTTCAGACTGACTGTTGAAGAAATAAATTTGAAAATATCTTTATGTTTATATCCGATTTTCCGATTAGACGCCTAAACTAATTTTTAGAACACTGATATTTAATTTTAGGATCACAGTGAAAAATTCTACAATAATTTTTCGTATCTTCCCCATACATAAATCCAAAGCAAAAACATTATACAAAGTTCTCTACAAAAATTCACATATCCTGATCAACACAAAGACGATAATGACTAAGAAGAAGAGGTCCATGTCCTTAGCACGTTACCAGCAATTTTAAGGAAGAATTTACTTAGTTTTATGAGTTTAAGAATATAATGAATTCAATAATAAATTTAAAAAGTAGTTGGAGATCTGGGAAGGATCAGCAATTAGTCTGCTACAATATGTTAAATAATACTATAGTGGATAATGAAACAAGCACTTATTTTTCAATTTAACAAACTTCACATCAATTCAACGCAAGGGCAGAAGATAAAGCATAAGCTGAAAATAAAGAGAGAAGAAGCTCAATTCAATATTGGATAGTCCTTAACTTGTCAGCATGTCTAAACTCATATGTCAACACCAAACTCTCATCCATTCTTCTCAGCTCAAAGCTCTCTACCAACACAAAACATTTATAACTCTTCCAATGCGATGAACCACATTCAAATCGGTCTAATCTCTTAAGCGTCACCCGGTTTCCATCTATCTTCTTCCATCCAAAAATCTCCTCTTCACTTTCCATCCTCTCAACAATCATTGACCTTAAACCTATCTTCTTGTTTTTTCCTTCATGATCTAAAACTTGGAACCAAACAATCCCTTTATCATCCAAGTTTGTTGTTTCTATATTGATCTTTTGTCCCTCAACTTTAATCACTTGAGCTTCAAGATCCACATCAACGGAAACCTGAATACAATCTTCATTGTGAACGTTCTCAAAGAAGAAAATCTCTTCCCATCTCTGATGAAGGGTCATGTTGTAATACATTGATATCTTCACTTGATCTATTATGTCTCCTTCCTTCACAAACAAGAAAGGGACATACCATTTCCCTACAACAACGCTCACATCAAGACCAGGAAGCTTAGAACGAAGCTCTACATTTAAACCTTTGGCATCATCTATGAGACGTAAGGTTGAAGTCCTGTTTTCTAATGTCCAGCTACTCATGAGGAATGCAGGAAGTATAGCATTAGGATCAACGGGTTTGGCGTGATAGTAAGAACGGGCAGGTGATGATATAGTTGTGATCACAACTTGTTGATGAATGTCATAAGGATCTGGTTGTTGCTTCTTATACCTATGAACATGATTGAATCTGATGCAGAAGCAGCATGTTACTCTCTCCACCTCTCTTTCAGTGCTAGTAGATGATTCTCTGAAATCCAAAATTTAAGCTTCTCCAAATGAGATGAGATTTTTGAAATTTAAATAGATTTGCGTTGAATTGTTTGACATGCATTCTTAAAAGACATAAAAGATTTATATAGTTCAAGAGATTAATACTCCCTACATTACATAAACAGTGTTATTCAATATATTTTTTTGTTATATCTAGAGTATCATTTTAGATTTTCTTTTTTCATCCATATTATAATTTCAATACAATTTATAGTTATTTGAATTTTAATAATAGTTGCAAAATACATTGATCATATCAATGATTTCAAAGGCTAAATGAATTTTAACAATTTTCTTTGCAGATTATAATGGGATCAATTCAACCTGATCTAAACCTAAAGAGTCATGTTTTATTTCTATAACTATATTTTTTTTTTCTTTTCTTTTTGTATAACTATATTTTCGTTATATGAGAATTTGGCATTTAAAAAATTAGAAAAATTTCCTTTTGTATAAAAACACAGCATACACTTTCTTAGATAATCCCTTTTTATTATTACTGTACACATGAAAGTCTAGAAAGTAAACATGAAAGTCTAGAAAGTAAACTTACTCCCATCTTTAATATTCATGTCGAATAAAAAAATCTTAAGGAAATAGTCATACCTCGAATAATAACCGCATCGTTCATAAGTGTAGTAACGGTTCGAAGATAGAGGTTGGCCAAGAACAGGTATGAACACAGCCGGATCACGACGAACGTTGTCTCTATGTGAACCGTAGTTGTGTATAACAGTCAACGCAGCGTTTTGTGGAAACGGTAATCCTCTGAAGAGTGTTTCGTTACACAAACCAAAGCAACAAGTTGTCAACGACTCTTCGTCTTGAATCACAAGCACACCGGAGTTTGGACCTTCAGGTGGTGGCTTCTTGAGCTCCGATGGGTTTTTCCGGTACTCAGATAATGCTCTTGTTACGTACATGTTATCGTGTGTTTTATGGTTTGTGAGAGGAATATGTTTGATTAATGCCATTTTTATAGGTCACTTTTGCTGGTCAAAACCATGAGTTGACTTTTCTTATAGTCTTTATAGGTAAGTCTTACTAGGTAATGTGTTCGCGTTATGTTAGGAACTTAACGCGTAATTACAATTAGTATTGTATTAAAATGCGAAAGAAATTCATTTTAATGATAAATAATCTTCATATAAAATATCTTAGTATTTATAATAGAATAGCAGTCAAGGAAAAATATTAATAAGTTTTCATATTTTTCCATGCATAAGTAAAGACATTATACAAAGTTTCCTAACCTGATCAAACAAAGACAAGAATGAACAATAAGAAATACATCACCCATCTAACATGAGGTCCATAACGATCATTCGCAGTATTGATCAAACGTCCACACAACACAAAACAAAATTACCCTTAGGGTTTCTTTTCAGGCTTCTTCGTGATTCTGATAACAAAAAAAAAGACAATCCAGAGATAATAACATTAGTTTACTATGTTTTCAAAACAAGAACATCGACTTTTTTTTTAATCAAAGCTTCACCTGAAGCAGTAGATTCCAAGAGCCGCAGTGATCTCATGGATGACCGAAGTCGCAAAGTGCAAGTATAACGACACTGTTTTGCATCATCACAACATTAGTTAGGAGCAGCAAAAATAACTGACTAATGAAGATAAAAATAATAAACAGCTAAGCTAAGTAAGGTTTTAGGAGCGAACCTGTGAATATACAGTAGCCAAGAAGAACCCATAACTCATCGACCAGAGGAACCCTGAAAGACAGAAGTTTCTCAGTTTTATAAAGACAAAAAAACAATGAAGTTTCCGCAGGAAAATGTAAAGATGTAAAAAAGAAAAAGAAAAAAAGAACATACCCATTATTCAATCTTGCGGTTAAAGCGTTTGCAAGTGCAAAGGGAAGATAGACTAAAGACTGCATTTTGAATTACAAAAAAAAAACATATCATAAGGTTACAATTTCAAAACCAGTAAGATGGAGAGATTAGCGAGAGAAAAGTTATGGGATATTACCAAGCACATGTTTGTTTTCAGTCCTTTAGGCTCATCACACAAGTGAGCAAGAATCATCCTTCCCTAAGAACCAAAAAACATAAAACTTGTTGGAATGATAGTAAGTAGGATTGACCAATAACAAAGAAACCAACACTTACCACTAGAAACCCAAACGCAAGTCCAGTTCCAAGTACAACCAAGTGAGGGTATGTTGCTATGAGATTGATTGGAGACAAGTAATCCCTGTAGCAAAATAAGATCCTAATCATCTTCAACAGCGAAGGAGAGAAAAACCACAAGTCTTTTTTAGAAGAGCATAAAGCAAGACTTACCATATCAATACACCTCCGAGAAGAACCACGAAAGGATACAGCTGCATCAGATAATTAAACAGAACTTTTAAAGTTGCAGCTTTAGAAAAGTATTTTATAAATCAATTGTTTAGGAGATTACCATAGCTAATGCTAGCACCATGCTCCCTTTTCTTGATTGAACAACTTTATAGACATTTGACACACTGCAAAATATAACCGCATATGAACCAACTCAGTAAATAGGAACTTCTCAACTAAAAAAGGGTCATTAACTCAATACTAGAGTATACTTTTTTTCTATAAATCTTCATCTATTTCACTGTACTCGCGTTCAAATCCCATCTCACTTCCTATTGCACAAGTGGAAATTAACACATATATTGATAAAGTTAGGAAGACTCACTTGAATGCGACGGTTGGTATAACAGCAAAAGCGATCATCATGGATAGGACTGCTCTTGAAGTTCGGATCGCTAAAACAAAGAACTCAAAGTTCAATCAAGAAAGCAAAGAGAGCAACGGAAAAAGGAGTGGACGAATAACAATATGAGAGATAGTTTTACCATTCACAAATGGCACCCAACTAAACAATGGTATGGATTCCCCTAACTGCTGAGCCCACCATTCAGCACCTTTGGACAGAAAAATAAAAGGTCAATACCGAAAGTAAAGACCAAACCCAAGTATAGTAAGACTTTGATCTGAAATGTAATGGTTAATAGAGGTAAAGCTAGGAAAGAAGCATACCGACAAGAGCTGTGAAGAAGTGGCTGACGTATATGAGTGCAAGTCCCTCTGTAGGTCCATTGATGACCGGAAGAATAAGGGTGTTGGTGAAATAGCTTAGAGAAGAGTGAATAAAAGTATTAGAAAGTCTATAACAATTTTCCACAAATGTGTTATGAGACATAAGTAGAGAGTTAGAAGCACAGGACTTACTGTTCCCATGTAGCTCCATAGAACGGAATAGCTGAAATAACCCAAAACCAGAAAGTATCTCTTCCACACATTGCAGTGCTTCCAAATGCCATGGCTTCAAACTGTTTTCATTGTAAAACCTTCAGCATGGACTCCACAAATGTAAAGTAAAAACAAAAAATAAAAGAGAGAGAAGGAATTGTTAATGCATACCGCACAAGCAAGTGCATCACAACCTGCAATATTGGGACACACATGTCAGAAAAATCTAGAAACAAACTGAGGACAGATAATCAAAAAAAAGGGGAAGATAAAGCACCATGATCAAAAAGCTCTCCTAGAGGGCTAGAGGAGTTCGTTCTTCTTGCTTGCTTCCCATCAACCGCATCGAATGTCTAAAAAAAAAACACAAAAGGTTTCAGGAAAAGAAAAGGAGTCAAAACACATTCACAAGAAGAGAGAGAAAGGCGCAGACCTGATACAAGAATAGGAGCAAACCATGAGCGAAGTGCACCCATCGTGGAGGAGGAGAATCCAACTGAGGTGAATATATCTGTGACAGACAGGTAAAGAAAAGTGTCTTTTAAATCAAATCCATATGTAGAAAGCGGACATAAAGACAAAAGAGACTACAGAACGGGACATTAATCTCACTCACGTATCCTAGCAAGGAAGATGTGACTAGAAACATGAACCCCATAAGCGTTATCTGCAAAGCAATAAAAAAAAACAAAAAGCCATAAGTAAAATAACGACACCACACAAAACAAAATGGAGAGACAATAAACACTTCTATACCATGTTTGGTCTGCGTATAGTCCAGAGTCAGTAACAGAGAGAAAACCACATGAAAAGACAAAACAAAAGTCAGAATTCTCAATTAGCCTCACCAAAGTTAAGCTAAAACCAAAAGAAAGACTTTTCAAAGAGCACTAAAAGAGAGAGAGAGAGAGAGAGAGAGAGAGAGTTACGGCATCCATAGAGGGAAGACTTTGACAAAACGAGTCCAAAAAGGGTTGAGAAGGTATTTAGCAAGATAAGAGTGATCCTCTCCACTGTACTTGTACCTATGAAGAGCTGCTACACCATGTGCTCCTATGTATCCCATTAGTACTCTCTAACCTGTTTCAAAATTTTTAACCCAAATTCAAACTCAAAGACGTTAAAGCAGGGATCTTTAGGGTCTCACTAGCACTAATTAAACTCCCTAACTCTAAATCAAGCAAATGGGCATGACTAGTTCTACAAAAAGAACAAAACTTTGCTCTCAAGCTTCGAGATTTGGATAGAATCTGAATTTGGATCATTTTTGCTTACAGAGAGACAGAGTACTTACGAGGGTTAGGGTTGTTTGTGTCGGGGAAAGTAAAGGACGAGCCTTTTCGAGTGTTCCGTGTCCGAAAAAGAGAGAAGAATCAGACAAGAGTCTGTCTGTAGCTCTCTTTTCCCAAAAGATCGGCGGAGCGAGACGAGAGGACCTGAAGCAAACAGAGGGCTTTGCGTTTCCCCCACACGTGTGAAAGATATTTATTTTTGTTTTGATTAAATTAAATGTATTGTAAAATGTGGAAAAGATCTATGAAGTGAATTTGTTGGTTTTATGAGTTTTTTTAAGGAACAATCAAAATGAGTTGTGGTCATGGAATCATATTCTTCTTTTTATCTTTTTTCTCTTTTTGCTTTTATTACCTTACAAATATTTCTCTGAGAGGAATATGCCAACTCAATTTTTATTCTTAGACAAAGCCAAAGTTGCTTACTTTGGCAATGTCCAAAAAATATTAGTTTAGTTACTAAACTATACTAGATTTATCAACGAATAATAAAAAAAAAGCTCTGAAGAATATATCCAAGTTCAACAAAAATGAAGCTGGACCTGTAGTCTTTTGAAGTATAACAAAAGTGAAATAAGAAATATCAGCCATAAAACATGAATACACTTGATAAATTTATCAATTATTGAAGTGATACAAAACTAGATATAAATACAATAATAACAATACAATAAAAGCTGATATTCAATATGTTACAATTTACAAATCAATAGAACTACAATTTAACCAACTTCCAAATCGCTAGAATGAGAAATGCTTAATCCATCCTGTCCATGCGCTGGTCCAAATACTGGAGATTGAAGACTTAGTCTCCACTCTTAACATCCATCAGTAATCAGAGTCATATGCCAAAGTTTTTACATTTCATAAACTCATCATACCTTTGTTATAACAATCAATCCTCATGCTCATCTTCTCCTTCAGAATCTAAAAACAAACAAACAACCTTGAAGATTACTCTTTCATATGGATGTGGTCAGGAAAAAAAAACAGATTTTTATTAGTATAAACCAAGTTTTACCAGATCTGACATCTTCACTAAGCTTCCCTCTATCTTGTATTTGTTTCACAAGCATCCGATACATCAAAACCCACCAATAAATGTGAAGAACAAGCAAGCAATATAGAAGAGTGTTGAACATGTAGTAGTAAATTGGTCCTTCAACCGGGTGTTTGTCCTTATCCAGTTCCAAAACTACTTCATAGCTGCAACAAATACATATAAGGAGATAACATTCGAGTGAAGTATAAAATGATATCAAACATATACTAACCTTGTGCTCCACAGGATCCAAAAGGGATAGTAAATGAGGCGAAGAATGATCCAAGACATAACAAAAAGAATGAATGAAAAGCTTGCGATTCTTTCAGCTCCACTATATTTAGACATTTTCCCTACTTCAAGAAACACATCACTTGCATCATGAAGTGCCAGAACAACCGAACCAACACGAGAGAAGCTATCTCAACCCAAAAAAGAAGAATAATATCAAAACAATGTGGAGCAAAGGAAGCCATTGTAGAGTAGGATGTGATGTTTGAAGCATATACCTACATACGTATGAGAGGACAATAAGAATAAGAGTTGCAATATGATGACCCATTGAAACTCCAAAATCAGAACGTCTTGTTTCCCAGAAGATCAGAGCAAAGATTGAGTATGTATAGAATCCAGCCACAAACATATACAGAAGCTTCAACTTTAACCTGCATGTGAAAGATAAATATTTATCATTGTCTACATAAACTGTGATATATAGGCATGGTCTTGACAAAAAAACTTACTTGGTTTGTTGATCAGGCCAGGACTGATCTCCAGGGCCAACCCAAAAGTATTTAGTGTTCATAAACCAAGGTTCATTGTA